TGCTAGGATGCTTGAGTTAAGACAGGGGCTTCTTATCTTTTAGGTGATGTTAATGCCATACCAGAATCAGGTCAGGAAGTAAACCACTGCTTCGTTTGGTTAACAAAAGCCGCTTTGTGGGAATTTATTGTTTGTCAGCCTAACCCTGCTGGCCTCCTTAGGAAGGAGTTTTTAGCAAAAAATTAGAGTTCAGTCCTCAGTGGTCAGATTCATCTATAACTTGGAGGAGTGCGCACGCTCCGACAGTGACGTGGGGATGTCCGTGGCCCCGAGGCGCTGGGGCAGCCTGACGCCGAGCGTGGGCTGCAGACGTGCTGAGAGGAGCAGGGCGGCGTTGTGCGCGCTCTGCCGGCACTACTACAAGCGGGCGCCCTCACTGTGGGGAGACAGGGTGAGTTGGACGGTGGGCCCTGGCCGGGTTCCGGAACGTCTTCCAGGTGAACCTGGCCATGGCCCTCTTCCTTACGAGAAGCAATTTCTGCTTCGGGATAAACAGATTATGAGCATTGGAGTCTGAGCACGTGCTCTGTCCCCAGTGTGACTACTCATTATCCTCACAGGTCAGGTCACTGTGGTCTCCGTCTCAGGCCTCCAAGGTTTCAGCTACTCTCGGACCGGAATGCCCTCGGATACTAATAGACGTGGTGGCTGTGGTGGTGCCTCATCAAGTTTCAGTCCTCCTGCACGCACTGACACACCCTGTTTCCGAGTCTTGGGGCGAGATTTCCCTACACTCCAGTTTCACGTGGCTGATCTGGGAAAGAGATCAGGGGCAGCGATGGTCCCTAAAGAGACTCCTGTCCCGGCTTGGTGGCTTTTCTTTAGTGTCTCATTTTTCTCTCCCTTCCTAGTGCAACCAGACATGGCAGTGTACCCAGAGAGGGCCCCACTCCTGCAGCAGCACGATCTGCTGCTCTGCTCTGTGACTGGCTTCTACCCAGGGGACATCAAGAGCAGGTGGTTCCGGAATGGGCATGAGGAGAGAGTTGGGGTCATGTCTGCCGGCCTTGTCAGGAATGGAGACTGGACCTTTCAGACTATGGTGATGCTGGAAATGACTCCTGAACTTGGAGATGTCTATACTGCCTTGTTGATCACCCCAGCCTGCAGAGCCCCGCGTCTGCTCAGTGGAGTGAGAATTAGTTTCCTGTACTCTGTGGGCCTGACTCAGGACCGTATAGACTCAATAGGTCCTGTGTCACCTGGGTACAGCACGAATTCTTTCCCTTGGTCTGGGATAGTCGCTGAAATAGGAGTCCTTGGTTTAGGGTGGGAGAAAACATGGCAAGCATCTATTCTCATATCTTCCAAGAAATGAGAAGGTCTAATGCCCTCCTCACAGGCTTCCAACCTTGGGAATTGGTTTTCTCTAATACTTCGGTCTTGGTATTTAAGGGACATTCTTATAGGCTCTTAAGAATCAGTAACAGATGGGTGGGGCCACTCCATAGGTGCAAACTTTGGCCTCAAAGAACCATTGCTAAATTTATCCTTTCTATAGATGGTGTTTGATTTTGTGTGCAGTGCAGACTCTGGGATTTCAAGAAGGCACACTGAGTACTGGAGAGCATTTTGCTAACTTTGGGACCTGTTTCCTGTAGCAGCTCAGTCTGATTATCCTTGGAGAAAGATGCTAAGTGGAGTTGCTGCCTTCCAGCTCGGGCTGATCTTCTGGTGGGGGTGCTCCTCCGCCTCAGGGCTCAGAGAGGTAGTGTGCCCCGAGGAGCACCCTGCCCCCACCCCCACTTCCCACCTTCAGGGATCACGGCGATAATGTTTTCTGAAGCCCGAGCATTCTCAGGGATAAGCAGAGATGGAGCTCTCACGGGCCGTGCCCCATTCCTCAGTCGCGACATTTGGTTCTAACTGGGGCAATGCATTCTTCTCTTGATTTTTTTCCAGGATATGTGGAGACACAGATGTCTGGTGATGAGGTAACGTCTCTTTCCTTGTCTTGGTGGCACACCATCCTCCTGGTTCTCTGGCCAGAGGGAGACACCGTGGGGCTAAGGAGGCATAAGGCTGGCTCTGGCTGGGTGGTCCTGTCCTGCGAGTCCCTGGAAGGGCGGGCGGGGCTGCCTCATGGACCTTCGTCACTGTCCCCACAGGCCTCAAGAGCTGTTCTCCCCCCACGGCCACACTAAGGTCCTCACTGGAGCTTCTTCCCCCAGAGCCTGAAGTAATGGCGGGTGGCCGGGGTCCTCGGCGAGGGAGAGGACACTCAGGAGGCCAGTGTTCTGGGATGAATATTTTCCTTGATCCTTGGAGGAGTCCCGAACTGATTTTGGAGTTTCGTGTTTTGAGATCATGCCTCTCCCACCCATCTGCCATTCCTCCTACTCGTATGTCGCTAATCCCCTGGCCACTGGCCAGAAACGCCCCTCAAGCCTGACCGTCCAGCCTCCAACGGCCGACTTGTGCTTTTCCGTGGTCCGCCATACCCTGCAGGTCACGATGCCAAATGTTCCGCTCTTCCAACTGCAATTGTAAGGCAGAGGAATTTGTAGGACAGAGGAAGGGCAGAGGAATTCTTCTACTTGTCGGGAATTCACTTGGGTGGGGCAATGAGCTAATGGCAAACCTTTGCTTCTGGTCATTGCTTGCTTGCTACACC